TACATAGGTGGAACCCTTTTTTATTATTCTATGATATAAATCATAAGTTTGGTAGATATAAATCATTATTTTTTCTGAAATAAAAGTGTAGAATAATATTAATGTGTTGGTGCCAAGGGGGCAACAGCCATGTTAAAAAGATTTACAGGTCAATAAGTATATCTACAATAAGACCCAAGTCAGCCATGTTATCAAGGTTATGTCCTAAAACAATAGAACAAAAATAGTGAAACCATCTATTCTTGATATTGACAAAATTATCTTCAGTTTCTTCAAAAACCCTATTGTTTCTTTCTTTCCAGATGATCCAAAAGATGGTAAGAGAGATAAGTCTGTAGTGTTTATTTACCTTGCATAAATCATAAAACTCGTTCTAATGCATCTTCCATATCATCATATGTTTCAGCAAGTGAATGTTTGTTCTTCATGTTTAAACATGTCTTCTCATACTCTTTATAAGATTGGTTGTGACTGTTACTGATAAAAACATCAAAATTTGTTCTCCAAAATGGGTACTTCTTTCCTAAAGGAGTTCTCACTAACTTCTTTCTAAATGCAGTAAGCAAACATTTTCCTGTTAGGGATCTCTTTTAACTCTTGAGAATTAAAATTATTTGAAGAATGGTGTTCAGTTATATCCTTAAGAGGTGCTAGTAAGATTCTTTACTTTTTCAATGTCATTCTAACTGATTCAGTCATGTGCTTATCCCAGTGGAAACAGTTATCCAGTGCAGTACGATTTAGATTTGGTTATGGTTAAATTGTTTCAGGTGGAGAGTAGTCCTCATTAGTGATATTTTCAGATGGCAGTCTAAACTGGCTTCTGGGGCTTTCCCCTTTTTCCGTAACTGGTTTATTTTTGAACTCCTGAAATGGTTCTGCAAAATGTTATTTCATTGTACTTTATTACTATTCCCTTTTCATTTGGACTTGGTCCCGCCTCTTTTCAGAAAAAAAGGGATCAAAATGACATAATTAAGTAGTTGCTTATTATCAAATGATACATATATCATCTTGTGTTTTGTTAACATAGTCTTCCATGTCACCAAATGTAGAATCTATTTATCATCCTACTGGACTAGAGTCAACAAGTTTATTACTGGACATTGTAGGTTGAGGTTGCATTTGCTGGTGAAGGAAAGGAAGAAGATGTCAAGTCTGAAAATGCAAGCACATCTCTGAAAGTTTTGCTACCATGGATGATCAAGCAAGGAATGAATCTTACCAAGGAGCAACGTGGAGAGGTCAAGCAAGAGACGAAGGTGGACGGCAGTTCAGCAGCAGTTCCATTTTCTGACGACAAGAAAACTGTTGGAAGTGATGATCAAAAGAACGTACAGGCTTGTTCTAAGATAACCTTTTTTTTCCTTATTTTGACGTTTGTCATATGTGGGAGTGCTACTTGTTTTACTCAATTTTCATTGAATCAAGGAAAGTTTTTCTCGGGCTTCATTGTTTTGCAGGATGAGTATGTGAAAGCTTATTATGCAGCTCTGCTTAAGAAGCAGCAAGAAATGGCTGAAGCAGCTAACAAACAGCCAGAGTCATCAAGCATGCTAACCTCTGATGGTTCTGGCACATCTTCTAATCGTCAAGTTGGTATGAAGTCTAAACATGATGAAGATGAACCAGACGATGATGTTGATTGGGAAGATGCTCCGATTGCAGGTTGGTATTAAAATTTCCTCATAAGTTTAATTTGCCTTCATTAGGTAATTGGGATAGAACCTTGAGATTCCACCTACTTTTTTTAAACATCATATCTGTAAGTTTTTGGCATCACATTTAAGGGTTTGATTTTATCGCATAACCAGAAAATCGAGAAACATTCAAAATATTTTATTGAATAATTAAAATTTGTCTTAAAAGTAAGATTTCAAACATATTAAAAATGTTTCTTAATAATTATTTCTAAATACAGTTAAACTTAGTAATACTAATTCTAATAGGATTAGGAAATTATACTCCTAATACAAATAGGAAAACTAAATAGTAAAAAGAATAAAATGTTAAAATTTCTAAAACTAAAATAGCAGACTCCTAAATACTATAGTTTTATATTTAAAAGAATTACAAGTTCTAATCTATTTGCACAATCTAGATTTAACCCATTTTACATCATTCACATACACTGATCAAGTATTTATACTCTTAGTTATCAATTTTTTGGCATAACTTTCCTTATAATGGGGGAATGTCTTCATGGATTACAAGTCTGAGTACCTGCTTGTGAATGTCTTTATGTCTTGATGAGGTTGTGTGTCTGGTCTCTCACCCAAGTGGCAAATACTAGTGTTGTTTTGGATCTTTAATTGAATGACTTGTCTAGGGTTTCAAGTCTTTGATACGTGACCCTCTGAATGTGAAATTGAATATTTAAGTACCATTTATCTTATATTTGGAGAGATAAGAAAATGTTCATTAGGAGACACCAAGGGGTGCCACCCATGTGCCTAGGGTATAAGAATTTCTTTTCCGACTTACCATTGAAGCTAGTGATGGTCCTGTTTGTGCAGTGGTATAGTTGTCAACCAGATCTTATCTGTGTGGTTGCAATTGCACCTTCGGTGGTTGCTTGAAATGACTTTAATTGTCAGGGAACAGTAGTCCTTGGTGATGGTTGTGCTCGAGTGTGATGGTTTGAGGGTTGCTGGAAATTTGGAAGATAAGAGGGTATTTTTTAACTAACCGTTCTATGCAAGTGTTTGGTTAGGTTAGTGGTTAAGTTAATCCAATGCAATCTAGCCAATCACTCAAAAGCGAAGACAAACACAGCCTTATTAAATAGCAGGAAACTAGACTATGACTGCATAATTGGACTTCTACAATTATTTTGTTAATCTTTCTTAACCATTTTGTTTTGAACAGTGATCATTGGTTGTCCCTAATGTACAATTGCAGGCAATACAAATGAAGGTTACAAGGTTGGCGACTTAAATGTTGAAGCAGAGGCTTCAGGAGGGGATGATGATGACGTGGACTGGGAGGAAGGTTGACACTGTTTTCTGGCATGCCAAAAGTGGCAGATTCACAGGCATATGTTGATTAATACAAAGAAAGCAAGTCATAAGGTGTTATCAATTTTTTCATACCTTTCAAAGAAGATACTGTTGAGGAGGCCTGATAAGAATCTAACCCTTTGAAGCTCGAGAAAACTCGGGTTCAGTTCTATAACTCTACTGCCATTTTTTTTTTTTTCGGATTCTACTTTCAATTTTACTTATATATGGTTGATCTTTTCTGGGGTTCCCCATATAGACCATGTAGTATATACTTTTAAATCACAGAACTGTGAGGTGAGTGACTGAAATTTGTTTGATGGAAGATGGTCTTCTTGATGAGCGACCGATTTAGCTGACTACGTTGAAAATGTAATATGGGTCTGCCGTTACATCTGAAATTAAACTAGGTTTGAATCTATCAACGTCATCCCCAGGCTGTTGAACTCTATCAGTGCTTGTGATATGTTAATAGACTTAAGAAGAAGCCACTAAAAATGTATATCTGGAACTAATATGCCTGTATTGATGGCATTTATTCCCAGACAGGGACATCAGCAACATGGTTTAATTGTTTAATCCGTGATATTACATCTAGAATATTAAGGGTATGTTTGGATCAAATTAACTCTTTTTGTGGAATTCATTTGGAAGTATGTAGTTAAGTTCAATTATGACTGGATGACAATTTAATTTCAAATGCATTTCAGGGAGAACTAAAATAATTTATTTTGAATTTCATCAAATTACCACAATTTGAAATGTATTATTACATTCACTCAAGATATATTGAATTTGAATTTTCGATCTTCTCATTTGTTCCAAGCATGCCCCAAAATTTTATTTGGGAGAAATTATAGTGATCATCGGAAAATGGAAACTGAAGCAAATTCTTCGTAGTGCTTAAATTATGGTGATTTCTCTTGTCAGAGTAAGTTGTGAAGACTGGTCCGCTTAACAATAATCTCTTAAAATATTGAAGAACCAATTATACATGAATGGTTATCCCAATTGGAAGAGTTTATAATTGCTTTAATTGGTGGTGCTGAGAGTCGGCAACTTCTTTCTTTTTGCATAGATGTTTGTTACATTTTATCTTCGTGGAAGGTTTACGTAATTGAGTTAAGAGATATATATCTATATATATGTATGTTTAAATGTTAATTGATTTAATAAAATATATCATTTAAATAAATAAATACACAACGTGTAATTATATATATATTAAAAGAACTATGTACTTGACAATGAATAATAAGAAAATAGTATACGCTAAACATAATTTATTATTATGAAAATGATACCCATCATGTTAATTAAAATGACTTTCGTGATACTCATAAATAAAAGTGCATTCAAGACAAGTTTTGGTTCCTCTCTCTAAAGACTTCGAGCTTGTGCCTGCCATGGATGGCTAACTAGAAGCCTTTGAGGGAGAGTGATCGATGAAACTGGCTTGGCACTAACACGTGGAAACTCCTAACAAGCAAAAGCATAGTTTGTTCGTTCTACCTCGAGTGCTCATATCCCATCCTTTAATCAATATTCCACTTGGGCTTCTGCCTTGGGCTTGAATAGAAGCTTTTGAGGGAGAGTTGAGCAAACCGTTGCTTTGAAAAATATCAATTTCCTTGCTTATTTAATTTGTTAGTTTACGGGTATTGTATTAGGTTTGCACCCATTTTTTTTTTTATACTCCTCAAAAGTTAAAGGGAATCTACCCATTTGACAGAATATTCCTACCTCAAATTTCACCTATCTAATCTTATTAACTACATGCCTCTAATATTAATATGAGTATCAATAATTTGAAATTGGATTTAATCGAATTTAATTAATTATTTTTTTTTAATCTATCTAATTTTAAATATGAACTAAACTCTGAAAATATAATTAAAAATACTTCTTAGATTAAGAAGTAATAAAAGGCAAATTACATAAAAAGTGAGAACATATTATATGGGTATGGGAATATGGTTAAAAAAATGGTGTTGGGCAAATCTTAACTTTAATTTAAGATATTATAAAGAGAATAAAGTTAGGGTTAATCTCATCCAAATAGTCAAATACTATTCATTTAGACAACGCTAACATGATTCCTTGTTGACATTCCCCTAAACACCCACTTGCTTTTTAACGTCAATTTCTCTACCTACTGACATATCTTCTATATGTACAAATTGCTCAATCCCTTTCTCCACAACGTCAAATAAATTTAATTTTTTTTAGATCATGTATTTAATCAAATATGATTCAATGAATGTATAATATTTTTTTATGATATCTTATCATAATCTATATATATATATATATATATATATATATTTACAAAAAAATATATTCGGCACAAAGATTATATATAGTCTTTCTGAGCAGAGAAAACTTTTCTCCGCCAAACACTAGTAATTGTAGATATAAAGTTATAATTGTTTTATTTTTGCACCAAACTCTTATTATTATCGTATGTGTTGTTTCTCTAATGAACAAATGGTTCAAAATGCTAATTTAAAACCTAGAAGCATAAAAAAAATATTCTTGAACACATGTCAGATTAATCGAAGTTAATTTGTTTATTTAGTTTTTCTAATAATCTGATTTAATATCCATCATTTATATGCATGAGATGTGATGTAGTTTGGAGATGTAATTTTTACTATGTTGATTGTTATTTCTTCATATTCTACCATGCTTGTTATGATTATTCTTTTAAAATTTTGAGATACAATTTGTTTTTTGTATTTTACTTCTAATTATTTTTATACAATTATGGCTAAACGTGTGAACTCAAATTGATAATTGAAATCAACCATTTTTGGATATACTTTCGCTTCTTTTTATGAAGTGAGAATTTGAGTTGTGAGTTGTATTATTTATGTTTCTTTTAAAAATTATTTTATCATTAGTTTGCGAGTCCTACCTAATTAATAAAATGTATATGTTATAATTAAAAAAAAAAATTGCATAATTAAAAAAATATCATTTAAAATAATAAAAAAACTAATAAATAGGGATGACAATTTGACCCTAATCCATCAAATTTGATTTGTTTGAATCCTAATTGGTAACCATTTTCACTAAATAGCATGTTGAAAACGAACAGAATTCACAATGGATCGAGTTCAAATTAGCAGAAAAGCGGGTGTGACAAATAACATTTCCGGGTTTAGCTTACCAAAATTTATTTGAACTTGAGCTTGAGCTTATTTTTATATAAGTATTTTAATTTTTATTAATATAAATATATTTATGTTTGTATTAATAAATATAATTATGTTTATATTAATATAATAAAATAACAAGATGGAATAACATAAAACTTAATATGGTTTAAAAGGTTTAAAAATATTTTAAATTTGTAAATATATTTGTATTAATAAATATAATTATATTTATATTAATATAATAAAAAAATAAGATGGAATAACATATAAAACTCAAAATAGTTCAAAAAATTTAAAATATTTTAAATTTGTTTAGAATTTAGAGGGGAATCTAGATTTTCATTTTTAACCTGCCTACTAAATGTATATAATCAACAAATTCTAGGGGGTCTCGTAGTCTACCATGCCTAACACCTTCCCTATACCGTCGTCAACTTTTAAATCTTTAGTTGGTTTGTGAGTTATATCATCTCAATTTTCTTGACTTTTAACTGTACAGTAACTCCTTTTTAGACTCCTCGAGGTTAGTTCATGGATCCATCCCTTATCATCAGTGGTTCAAGCCTACTTGGAATTGTAGTTATAGAAAGTTTGAGAATGTGATGAACCTCGCCGCTTAGAAATGTGTGTAAATAAATTATATGAAAAATCCCAGTATAAAAAGTTCAAAATATTAAGCAAATGATTATACAATTGTTATAATTCCTATACATCGGATAATATTAATTGTGTAAATTTAGTTATACTCAGATCATAAAAAATTTCAATCATATTGCAGAAAATTTGCAAAGCAAAACACAACATAATATTTTACATGGGAAGCCCTCAAAATGCTGCTTCAAACCATAAAGTGTGTTTAATCTACAACAGCCCAAGAAGTTTTGGGTTCTCTCGTCCCCAGAAGTGGCGCGAAAATCTGCATCTTTGTTCGGGCATGGCGCGTAAAACCAGTAAGGTCTCATTTTTGGTTAGTCTTCTCGAATGAAAGTTCAAACAAAGGGGTAGGAAAAAAAAAAATGTCTCCTCCTTCACCCCCATCCAAGCGAAGACGAAGGAACGAGACGGAGCAAGGAAGCGATTCGAGGGACACGTCATCACCGTCAGAGGCAAATAATCTGGAGAAGTTATCCCCTGTCGTCGTCCTCGCTCATGGCGCCGGTGCTCCTTCATCTTCCGATTGGATGATTCGGTTTCTTCTCCTTTTTCACTTTTACTTGCTGTGATTGGTTCTGTTATTATGCTATGTCTGATTGGGTTGCTCGATAATTACCTGTAGACGGTAGAATGGATTTTTAGTATTCTGCAAATTCTTGAATTAGCATCGAGGGTCTTAATCGTAGGTTATCTGTGGTTAATACTAGATTTTGCACACTATATTATCATGTCAACTTGTGGAAAAATAAGCTGGTTACCCATAAAAAAGAGTTTCTTAATTTTCTGCAGATGGAAGGATATGTTAGGGAAGGCATTACATGCTGTTGAAGTTGTCACATTTGACTACCCCTGTGAGTCTTTAATCTTCTCTTCCTATTTTTTCTCATTTAAACTGTTAGCTTTGTTTGTTTTTAGGTTTTCAATTATCTCTTTTAGCTGATACCCTTGTATCTAAACATGTTGGAATATTGACATTGAAAATTATTTAAATTATAGCTAACAGCATTAATAATCTTATCATATCTTGTTATGTGTACCAGCATTTGGAGGATGTTAGTAGTGACCAGTATGAATCATTTAGTTAATTGGTTCCTATAATGTCCATTTTAGAGCAAATTTAAGTGATTTGAGAACTGGCAGATATTTCTGATGGAAAAAGGAAGGCTCCTCCTAAAGCAGAAAAACTGGTTGAGTTTCACTCAGATATTGTCAGAAACACTGCTGCCAGGTTTCCTGGACATCCTTTGATTTTGGCTGGGAAATCTATGGGTTCAAGGTATTTAAACAGATCTCTTTTTGGTCGAAAAATGTATTCCATCAGATTGGGGCTTGTTTTTACTTATTCAGTTGCATGTTCTATGTTTTCACCCAGTTTCTTTCCTCTGCAAATGATAGGAGATAATACTGTTATTCAATCTACTTAGGGTAGAACAAGAAATGCATTTTGCTTTCATATCATAAGTTATTGTTTAACTAATTTTAGGTAACAGTTCTGTTGCATTTACAGAATATTTCAATCATATCCTAGGATTCTTGTTTTGGCTTAGGGAATATGATATTTATTTATTTATCTCCATGTCAGTTAATAGGAAATGCCATCAGTAATGCATGGTTACAGGCATGAACATGTATTTATGGTGAGAGGTATACTACCGCCATAAATTTGCAGGAGTTGAACCTGCAATACAAGGCTCATCAATGTAAATGGTAGGACAAGGTCATGAGCGAGCTAAGGCCAGGAGTCAAAATCTTTTGTTCAATGCTTCAGTGCACTGGATTGGATAGTGCAAATTAAATGATGAGAAATTTCTCTATGGATAATTCATATTTTGGTGGCTGCTTATGTTTAGTATTCTTTTTGTTTGTAGGGTCAGTTGCATGGTGGCTGGCAAAGAAGACATCACTGCTTCAGCTGTTGTTTGCTTGGGTTATCCACTTAAGGTTGTCTTCTATTTGCTTGGGTTTGCATCACTTTTGTTATTTCAGAAAGTCTTTTATTCTGCTTCCCTACTATTCTATAGGGCATGAATGGGGCAGTACGAGATGAGACACTATTGCAACTCACAGTCCCTGTAATGTTTGTTCAGGTATACATTCTACCTTTTCTTTATTTTACTTTGTTTTTAGCGGAACTAGGAATTCATCTAGCAACAATCAAATTTCTCCTTCATGATCTGAGGTGGCTGTGTCATAGGTATCCTTAGGGTTCATATTGGCCTTGTTAAAATATTAACTTCCCTGTTCAAGCTTCTTTTAGCAGGCTGTTAAGGGATGAGCAATTTGTATTTATCTAGTTGTCTTATTACCAGTAACTTCAAATCTTAGCCCAGATTTATTAAACTTTTACCTAGTCTTTGCTTGTGACAATATAGCTTTGCAATTTTGTTTCTAAATTTTCTGTGGGTTAAAGGGTACCAAAGATGCACTTTGTCCCCTTGAGAAGCTGGAAGCTGTTCGCAAGAAGATGAAATCTACAAGTGAGCTACATGTGGTTGATGGTGGGGACCATTCCTTCAAGATCTCAAAGAAGCACCAACAAACAACAGGGAACACTCAAGAGAAAGCTGAAGATCTTGCTGTTCAGGCAATAGCAGCCTTTGTTTTGAGGTCTCGGGTGAACCTGGATTAATAGGAACGTTTTTAATGTAACATAAAGATTGAAGGGCTAATTTTCTGTGTATGTTCTTCTGAATTAGCCCCTTTTACAGTTCACTTCAGAAATGTCGGGCTAATTTTCTGTGTATGTTCTTCTGAATTAGCCCCTTTTTTGTTCACATTAGAAGTGTCTGACATTTCTGAAGTGAACTGTTTCCAGAAATGCTCAATCTTCAGACTGTAGATTGTTGGTAAGTGGTATGAAGCTCCCAAAGACATAAAAAGCTCTCGATAATTTTCTGCACTTGAATTCTGAATGTCCTTTGCAATTAACTTACTGATAACATAGTATAGGATAGAGAGATTGTGATGTTAATGATATTCATTATATATAGCCATTAAGGGCACACATACAATTGTATAAACTCGGAGAGTTCTTTATTACAACAGAGAGTAATGACATATAGTAAAGCTTCAGGCAACCATTAGTTCCAAGTGAAATTAATACAAAATAGGTGATGAATTAGTGAAGGCAATGATGTCTGGATCTTTTTGAAAATGAAGCATGTCTTCTTCATCTAAGCTCACCTCTACTTCAACTCCATCTCCACTAGCGTTATTCATCAAAACAACCAGTAATTCAACGCTGATTTGCGTACCTCCTACCCAGACAGGCTTTCCCCATCCAAAATCTATTCCATACTGAGGAAACCCACATAAGCTAGTAATCCTGTATGCATCTATTTCCTGCAAGGCCTTCTCTTCTATAATTTCTTCAACTGGACTTGTAATCGCTGAGAACAGCTCCTCGCCAGGAATTGATTTTGCAGAACTTAGTGCATCTCTTTGTAGACTCACTAAGTTATGAAGCTCTGGTGTTCTATTCTGGTCATCATCTGGCTTGAATCTTGCATAGGCTAACTTGTACATGTTGCCAAAGGAAGTGGGTGAAACTGTTGGGTTAACTACCTTATCTCGCAAGTTCATTGAATGAACTAATAAGGATGGCCTCAAGTAACCATGTTTGGCTCGAGAAACACCCATGAGCGCCTTCCAAATAAGTGCTGATACCACCTTCACTCTTGATGCCTGGCCCTTGAGTCCTCCATCACCGGACACTACCTGCGCTTTAAGCTTTGATATTGCAGTTCCTTCAAACACAAACCTTCTTGTGACAAGATCGAGTTTGTTTTTAAAAGCAAATGGATACTTGGGTATTCTTACATGATCTGTTATTGCTGGGAATAAGTTACCCAATTCGAAAGTGGGAGCAGGAATAATATAGTTGGTCCCTGCTTGGCAGGAGCTTGCCCAGGCTTTGATAAAAGTGGTTGCTGAGAAGCCATCAGCTACCTCATGTGTCATATTCATGCCAACGCCCACACCACCGCAGCTGAACTTGTTGATTTGTATAACAAGCAGTGGAGCCGTGGATGAGCCGGGAGTTGGCCATGGAACAAATTGACTAAGCTTGGTATAATCAATTTGTCCGTGGAGGATTTGCGAGAGGGGAAAATTAACTTCAGCTTCCAAAAACTCCACTCCTTCGTCAGTGCAATTGATCGACAGATGATCAACATCTAGTCTACCCGCCAGGGGATAGAACTTAGTTAAGGTCTGTGATAAGGATGTCTCCAATCTGTGGAGCATAGATTTGTAATTGTCATAGGTATTATGGGAGGAATAGTAGAAAATGAGAGGGACATAAGCTGGTGGAGCAGCCTGGTCTACGAATGAAAGCTTCTTCTTCTTAAGATGTTGTGGGGTAGGAGATGAGGGTTTCACAAACTTGCTAGACACAATACGAACCTCCATATTGATGTCTTCCTCTTGCTTTCTCCTTCAAACTTGAAAAGTACTGCAAGATGGATTTAGAATTTTGAAAAGAAAGAAATTGATGAGAATTCTGGCAAAAAAAAGAATTTTAAAACAAGAAAAACAGAGAAATTAAATGGCTATATCTTGATCTATACATAATAATCTCATTGTCCTGCCATGACTGCACACAGACCGAGCGTACCAGTATTTATAGGTCTCAAGACGTTGGCGCGCAAGCTATAACTACGTGATACCCACAATTAATTTGACTTAAAGGATTATCATAATTAGTTGCAGGCATATATATTATATGTATATCTCTTTCTTTGAGTCGCTTACTTAGTCTCCATCTTTATCGTAAATGGCCTTGATCCTTAATTATCACAGGCTAGGTCATGATATATAGTTGCAGGCATATATATTATATGTATATCTCTTTCTTTGAGTCGCTTACTTAGTCTCCATTTTTTTTTTGGGATTATGGATGTTTGTTCTGTTTTGTTTAGCCTATGTCATTTTATTAATAAACTTTGACAAGTGTAACCTGTTTTTCAATTGAAATAATGTTGTTGGAAATATATGTCAAGTGGGGGTTAACTTCAAGTGCAAGTGAAGTACGACAAATAAATGATTTTGTTTCATGAATAATGAATTAGTTTCACTAGAAATATTTATATGCATATATATATATATTTATTTATAACTGGTAGGAGTGTGACATTATAACAGAAGCAAAGCTATTTAAAATAGCAATTGGGAGATAAGTTTAGCACCCCTCGCATTTATTCTTCTATTTAAGAATATGAGATCAAATTCTGAACTGTAAGACATCTTATCATAGAGCAACTAATAAAAAAAAACAAAAGATTTTGTCTTAAACTTCCAAACTTGATGAACATGGAGTTGACAAGCATCAATTAAAAACTTTTTATTCCATTAATAGGAGAATCATTTTTTTTTTGGAGAAAAGAGAAAGCATACATATTTACATATATGTATATGCAAGGTGAGATGTTCCTAAGAAAACAGAAAGCGAATCTATGTATGTATGTATGTAGACTCAAGCGTATGGAAGAAGAAGAATATAGGACAGAATAGAAACTTTGCATATGATTCAAAAATGAAAAATATATATATATATATCACCATTGAATAAGATGTATGAGAAGATGGAGATTTTACCTCTTAATCAAGTTGATTTTGTGATGTCAACTTATGATGTTTTGCAAACCTTCCGAAAGCAACAGAATACAGAAATATATATATATATATAGAGAGAGAGAGAGAGATGAAGAAGCAAGAGTTAACGCCCATAATGAGAAGGGAAGGAGTCCATTTAAAGGAGAAGGGGCTGGAGCTTGTACGAGCCAGAGTACTTGAGCTCAAATAGTACATGTCAGACAACTTAAATTTTAAGTTTCTTTTCTGGTATTGTTTGGTAAACCAAACTTGTTAAAGCTTTTGTTGACCTTTCCATGTAAATGCCAATTGTTTTGACAAAATAATAACCTAGAAAGTTATATATAAACACAGAAACCATTTTCTTCTAATAGTCTGCACTGAACCTTCCATTTTTTTCTTATATAAAACATATATACTTGCTCGAAATTAAATTATACTATATAATTATTCTTTTTTGACAAAGTTACAGCAATTACGTACCTAAAGTTCCTTTGACCAATAAATGTTTCTTTCATTTTTATTGAATATGTATGTTCCAAAGTTACTAATTTGATCTAAAATTCAAGAAAATATTATAGTTTATTCTAAATAACAATTCATATATTTTATTAATCATATAATATTTGTGTACTGATAATATAATAGGTTACCCATGTAACAATTTATAATTAATAAAGTATGAAGCATATGTAATTTATGTGGATATGTTAATTGCTAACAAAAACAATAAATCCAGATTCCAAAATTTAGGCAGGCCATTTCTTAAAAATTTAATTATTTCAATACGAGTTTAAAATGATTATTAAAGTGAAAAAAATAAATTTATTAACAGATCAGATTTGTCAGAGGAGATTAGGTAAAGCAGAAATTTCAAGTAAAACTAACATGCAAAATTCTATATATATATATATATATATATCAATTATAAAAATTAGGTGTGTGTAAATTTTTTAATATTGAGATTTGATTTATTGGAAGTTGACTTTGTGAGAGGGGGGGAGGTGGTAGACTATCAAGTCAAAAAGGATTTGGATAATAAAATAAACCGCGTACAGCTCAAAATGCTGCCTCCACTGGCTCCACACACGATACACCTTCTCTTTTACGTGTAATGGAAGTCGAACCAAATCAATTACACCACCAACCACCCGCAATATGTATTATATCTACATATCCCCCCATATATATATATATATTGCCTTGAAATTCGTGTAACGACAAAGAAATTTACTCACCGGTACGAAGTTGCATCTGAATAAGAAAATGAATATACATATGTGTGTGTGAACGCAAAACATTAATAATCACTCGGACGGCAATTGCATGCATGGGTACTATTTTACCCAACTTGAACCATCAAAATCTCTTTATTTTATATATATATATATTATAAATATAATTAGTAGTAGCTATTTTTTTAAAAAAAATACCTCTAGAAACATATACAAGATTAATATAAAATATCTGCAAAAACTGTTCATTCATGTTTAAGAATCTAATGGGTTGGTAGGGTTTGTAGGGTCGTGCTCATCATTCTTTTGATGAACTCTAGAATTGGAAGAAAACATTCACTGTAATAAAGAAGAGAATTGAAGGGGAGATAGAAATATCAAAATAAACACCTACAACCTAGTTTTAAATCAAGGGTACTTTGCCAGAAGTATATTATTTGACCATAATACCAATGGTTGATCGCCTTAAAGCTCCTCAATCATATCAATTGTATGGACTTGCGTAAAATAAACCATCTTATCTCATACATCTACTTATTAAAGTTTATAAACATTAAATTGGTGTTGTAACTCTTAAATCTCTCGATCATTACCATATTCCTAACCTCATTCTCTCCCATTAAAGACATCAGTAGAAGTCACGTTAACACCATAGCCTTGGATTTACATTATCGATCTTAGCCTTTGGCTAGACTAAGAGCCTTATGCCTTCATTAAGCTAGTCATTGCCTAATTGAGGCCCGAGTCATTTGAGATTCATAGTCAACATTATGTAACTTTCAATGTAAACAAGTATCTACCTATCCATAAAAACAAATATTTTTAGAATTAACTAATATTTGATTTTCTTCCATTATTTAAGTGAGAACACTTACCATAATGCTCAATTATTTTTAAAATTAACTAATTTCGTAATATTTTTAAAGAGATAAATTTTTTGAAAAATAATTCTTAAAGTTGCATTTGAAATGAGATTTATAAATTAGAGAAATCACAAAAGTAAAAAAACTTATGAAAATATCTGTCTATATGTCAGTAGTTTGATTCGATATATCACCTCTATTTACCTAAAGGATATTACCCTAAATGATTGATATAACTTTGAGAAGTGATTTAGTAGAACACTATATAGAGCAAATAAAAAAGTGAACTTTTAACATTATGTATAATTGACACTGTATTTGTTCCATATTTCAGTATGAGCTAGATCGGATTTTAAGTGAAAATATCTTTTTAAATATTAAAAGCCTAAAAAAATAGTTTTAAAATTCTCAGTCAAAATAATGTGTGTTGTCAGAAAAATAATGTTTTGACAAAACATATTTTTTAGAGTGAGATTATCATTTGGAGATTACGCTATTAGTGTTACAGAGTATGCAAACAATATCTCCTGTGTATTTTGGAACATTTCTAGACTATTTTTTAGAGACCAAACCGAATTGAGATCGTGTGTGAAGGTTTGTTTATCTTTC